CAAGAGGGAAGAGATATGGGAACATATGTATGACTGATTCACTTTGTTATAAAGCAGAAACTAACACACCATTGTAAAGTAATGATACTCCAATACAGATGTTAAAAAAAAAGTAAAAAAGAAAAATTAAATATATAAATGTATGTACAATGTGTCAAATGTATTCTACCTGGAGACAGCTATCTTCCTGGGATGATTTAGATATCAACAGACTACACTAAGAAACGTTCTCTAGAGTCATTCTTGTCAATTCAGTTCTTATAAGAGTTCGTCACAATTACGTTGTCAAATAGTTTTCCAGTATAACACACACCATCCAAATAACCATTTTGTATTATTTTAGCAATTAAAAACTCAGGTGTTTTTACAGTCTGGTCTATACTTGAAGGCAAAACTCTGAAGACCATCCCAAAAGACCAAACTTTTAAGTGTCATCTCTTGAATGTCATGAACATGCTAGCATCATTTAAAATTTACAGCACTTTCACTACCATGCACCAGTTTCAATGGAAATAAATAGATGCTCTTCTGACCTTATTATAGTAACTATATAAATATTTTTAAAAAGGAGTCCCTCATTACTTGGGATAACTTACGTTCGTTTTGTGAAGTAAAGACTGGCACTGTCTCATGTTTACTACAATAAAAATAGTTCTATAAAAGGTACATGCAACAAAAATGTAATAAAGGTTGATACTTTAATTTTTATTATCATGGGCCACATCACACCACCACATGAAGAATAAGATTCTATAGTGCTAATATGCTAAAACTATTAATACTCTTTAAGAAAAGGGAGGAGAGAAAGAAAATTCACATTCCTCACATGCACCAGAACAGTATACTTATACATATAAGGTTTCATATAGTTCTTATAACAACACTGGAAAATCATAAAATACATTATTTCCCACTTCACACAAAATCAGGGTTAGGGAGGTTAAGTAACTTAGCCAAAATCACAACCATCAAGTAGCAGTTGCTGGAATGGAAAACAGATTTGGTTAGGTTAGTCCACATCGTTTCTTCTTCCTCCTGCTGATTCTAAGAAGGGAAGTCCAAAGATCCTACTCTAAATCCTTGAAAATGCCTCCCCATCTATATTATACTGTGAACTCATAGACAAAGCAACCATCCTTATGGTCTGGCACAGAGGTCTCAAACTTTTTGGTCTCAGGATCCCTTTACACTCTTAAAAATTGAGGATCCCAAATAGCTTTTGTTTTTGTGGGTTCTATCTATCAATATTTACCACATTAGGAATTAATCTAAGTTAAAAATATTATCTCATGTAAAAATAAACCCATTATGTTAAACTCATTTTCCATAAAAATTTGTATTTTCCAAAACAAAAAATTGTGAGACCAGTGGCATTGTTTTACACTTGTGCAATCTCTAATGTATGGCTTAAGAGAAGACAGCTGGATTCTCATATCCCCTCCTGTATTTTATCTATTATGATACATTTAGTTTGAAATATATGAAGAAAATCTGGCTTCATACAGATATGTAGCTGGAAAAGAGAGAAGTCTTAATAATTAGGCTTTTCAGATAATTGTAGATATTCTTTGATGCTATACCACAACTAGGTAAGTGGTAATTTCTTAGAGGTCAGTAGCAATGTGAACTTTTCATACTTTGTTAACATTAAAATCCATTGTTTTATCTTGCATCTTGGATAGATATTTTACTAAATCATGCACAGGTAAGATTATACATTGGTAATTGGGAAAATATTGTTTCACTGAGTTATACAGATCTACCAAATGTTGACACATTTCATTGTACAATGTGAAACACCACATTCATTAATAGCCCCCCACCATCTATTTTATTAGAAGAGTTAATGAAGTATTGGAAGCTGTCAAGCTCATGGTGGTAGATAAAAATTAGAATTTTGGATAACATGTATTTGAGTGCTGGAATTTTTATCTTTGACAAAAAATACTATCCGTTGCTTTTCTCGAAGTGATAAGGCTTAGGTGTTCATTTGAGAAAATGTCTGCCGGATCCCCAAGTCTGAATAACCATAGTCTGTCTATCACTCTTTCAAGTAAAAATAGTGTTCCATGAAAAGTCAGCTCGTTTAGCTCGAAACTCAAGCTTACAACCCTTTTCTTTAAAGTTAATCACTATACGTCAGTATGCAGAGAGCTTTATGAATACTTCCTATTTTGTCATACAGAATACTAAGTACAATTATTCAAAGAATAAAAATTTAGTAAAATAAGAATGTCTTTGATCAAACACAAAATAAATAAAACTGGCATTTTTATATCATGAGTGTGAAGACACTAAGTACTAGCACAGTTTGGTGCCCCTGCCTTGATTTGTGCTTAGGTGCCAGCTATTCTACCTGCCACTGATTTTTGCACCCTTAGTACAAATCTAACACAGCAAAAAGGGACAAAATCCGTGTATTATGATGAATACTTTTAGCCTCACAGATCCCTTGAAAGGGTCTCAGGGACCCCAAAAGGTTCACATACCATGCTTTAAGAAATGCTGGTCTAGTATAATATCTGAAGGCTATTATTAAATTACACACAATAAAATCCAATTGTCTTTCTTGCAGGGAATCTCATTACATACTTACCATGTGCTGATACATCTGCCTGTGTGCCATCTTGTCTCCCCACCTCACTGTATAATTGAGGAATGGTTTGATTCACCAGAGGTGACGGCTCAGTACAGACTGGATAATTCTCTACATGAAGCTGCTGCTGCTCCTGCATCTGTGGCATACAGACCATGGAGTGCCACAAGCTGTGGTGATAGCACTTGGGCAAGAAACGGAAAAAACACTTTACTATTCCTTTTCTTAAACTAGTACCATTCTTCACTGAAAAAAAAAGTTGGGCCATGATTTCCAGGTGGGATAACAATGACTTTTGAACTAAATGATATGACATTTAGAAAATCTATTCTCTATAACAACTTTAAGATCTTTCGCAGCCTCTGTATCTCATATGTGGACCTAGGAATTATTTTAGGAAAGCACCCTAAGGAAATTAGAGATATACACAATGATCTGTATACAAAGGTGTCTGTTATAGCATTGTTTTTAAAGGCAAAAAAAATTAACGACCTAAATATTCAACAACAAGAAACTGGATGAATGAATTATGATATATCCATGATGGAATAAAATACAGGCAATAAAAAAAATCATGGTGTCAAATATTTAAGGAAAAAGTGTTCATATTGTTTAACTTAAAAGTTTACAAAATTACATAGCATAGTCCATATTTTATAAAATAAATAAATAAGCTGTAAGGAAATATACCAAAGTATACAGTGATTATACAGGTGATTTTGGTTTTCCTTACACATTAGTATTTTCCATATGCACCATAATGAATGCTGTTACTTTTAATATTAGAAAATATTAAAATATCTATTATACATTTCCTTGTATTCCCATGATGTAAAATATAGGAGACTATATTGTACAACACGGGGAATAATGTAGTCCCATGATGTAAAATATAGGAGACTATATTGTACAACACGGGGAATACAGCCAATATTTTATAATAACTATAAATGGAGCATAACCTTTAAAAATTGTGAATCACTATACTGTACACCCGTAACGTATAATGTTGTCCAACTATACTTAAATTTAAGACAAAAATACTAAAAATAAATAATAAACTGCCTCCACCTTGTTTCCACAGGTGACTATAATAAACAAACATAACTGAAGGGGCAAGCACTTTATTTTTTCAATTCTTGAAACTGCATTTAGGAAATACAGTCTCAGAGAACAAAAACCCACTCTACTACTCTTAAATTATAAATGTGTGCCAGTCAGTAAAGATAGTTTTCTGGAAATGATATGTCCAATGTTTCAGGGAAATCAGTGTCTTGGAAAATATGAACTAATCTGAGTATTATCCAGGAGACTATCTGGTTTACTATGTCATATGCCAAATCTTAAGATGCACCATTCCTTTTCAGAAAATGTGTCATCTTATTATATCAGAAGTGTATTTCAGGGGGAAAATGATCCCTGAAAGTATAAAGTAAAAGAGCTCTTACCTGAAATCAGAGACACCTTTCAGGGATATTAAGATATCTGTCAGTACTCCCTTTCTACAACTCAGGGAAGTGGTAAAAATCAGTGTTTGGCAAATATCTATGAACACATGAGTGCTTTAAAAATAATACTGCTCTTTAAATGTCTTTGAATTAGTCGGATTACTTTTCACATAAAATGCAGAAATAGCCACAAAAATGTTTTAAGTAAATAGGATAAATATTCCATTTGTTATTTTGAGATAGAAAAACATAGTGAAGGGTTGGCATACGATGTTAAATATGGAGGCCAATATATGCTGAAGTTGTACTTCATAGGGCCCCCACTCATGACAGTTTACAACTCTTTTATAAGAGAAACTGAAGTATTGAGAGGTTAAAGTAGAAAACTGACCTGTGTCATCTTCAGAGATATAAAGACAGAAATAAATCTTTTAGGTCCCTCATAGTGTTCTTGGGTTTTAAGGTTCAAGAGTCTGATTATCAAAACGGCTTACGTTTTTAAGTCAGAGGTTTTTTTTTTTTAATCAAAGCAATTTTAACAGGATTCTTACCTGCAATCCCAGATTGAAATAGTACTGCAAAACTTTTGCATCTAAAATTAAAAATTTAAATCTTAGTGACTAGATGACATAAACAATTAAAACTTACCATTTAAAAGCGCTTCTCTTTCAGTATTAAGGTAGATACAACAAATGTTGTCTTCCCACATCAACACTACCCTCAATTCTACCTTATAGTAAATGACCATTTACCTACCACTATAGCTAAGATCATTTTCTGAGCCAAGAAGGTTTAATCAACAAATACAGATTTTATTTCTATTCTTAATATTAGACAGATGTTACAGGAATACTACTCTGCAAATATTTAGAGACTCTAGTAAAGGCATTTTCTTGCTTGTCTCAAGACTAAAATTTTACTTTAATACAAATCTACTACAGTGATGTCTACTAAGATAACTAGCACTGTTTGAAACAATTCACCTTGTCTTTATTTAACATGACTAACATACCACCACTAGGACTCCAAAAAGAGGAGGCAATGAGCAAGGTAACTCAAAATAAGTTATACCATAAGGTGATAAAATTTCTTCAGACACAAAACTTTAAAGTACTTTACAAATGAACAAAAAGTAGATGTATGAGAGAAGAGGGAATAGCCTTAGCATTTCAAGTATATCTCTAAATATATTTTTATTGATTGACCTGGGATTCACATATATTCTTATAAATAAGATAATGTTACTTGATTCCACTAACAAACAAACTCTCAGAAAACCCCTTTCTTAAGTTGGAGACTCCCAATACATACAAATGTATTTACTGCCACTTTAAAAGAATGAGCTTGTATTTTGACTATTACGTGGGAATATAGTATAAAGCGCAATACTCAAGCTAAAGAATATGAAAAGATAACAGCAGGAAGTAAATCCACAAATGGCATGGGATTCCACCCCTTGGTATTCACATACATCCACACAAAAAATCCATAGCAGTATTATTCTCAATAGCAAAAATGTGGAAACAACTCAAATGTCCATCAACTAATAGATAATAAAATATGGTATATCTATATAATGGAATGTTATTCAGCCAAAAAAAAGAATGAAATACTGATACATGTTACAACATGGATGAACCTTGAAAACATTATGCCAAATGAAAGAAGCCAGCCTACAAAAGACCACATATTGTATGACTCAATCTACATGAAATGTCCAGAACAGGCAAATCTATAGAGAATAATAATAAAAAAAAAAGCAGAATAATAGTTGCCAGGGTCAGAGAGAATGAGGAGTAACTGCTAATGGGTACAGGGTTTCTTTTTGGGGTGATGAAAATATTTTGGAATTAGGACAGTGGTGATGGTTGTACAAATTTGTGAATATACTAAAAAGCACTGAATTATACGCTTTACATGGATGACTTGCATGGTATATGAATTATATCTCAAGCTGTTAAAAAAAAGTGGCAGGTAAGGACTATAAGAACTCAAAAACATCACTTTGAAATGCAACTGGGGGGTGGGATCATGAAAATGATAGGATTTAAATAGGAAGTTAGATGGAAGAGTAGAGGGGGAGAGAATTTGAGTAGAATCACCATGACAGCAAAGGCTTAGAAGTAGAAAACCAGATGCATAGAGTTCTTGTAAAAGTAGAAGGAGATAAGGTACAGTTTTGGAAAAATGACCAGCAATTTCTTATAAAACTAAACACACACCTATCTAGGCCCATCAATTCCACTCCTAGGTATTTTCCCAAGGGAAATGAAAACACATGTTCACAAAGACTTTTACAAGCATGTTCATAGCAGCTTTATCATAACTGATCCAAACTAGACTAGTCCACGTGTCCCACAACAGGAGAATGGACAAACTGTAGAGTACCCATACGATGAAATACTCAGCAATAAAAGCAAATAGACTACTGATAATATGCAGCAACATGGAAGAATCTCAAAAAACATTACATTGAGGTTAAGAAGCCTTCCATAAAGAGTACATACTGTATGATTATATTCACATGAAATTCTAAAACAGGTAAAACTAGGGCAGAAAAATATCAGAACAGTGGTTGTCTCTGGGGGGAAGTAGAGATGGGGTAGGGAAAGACTGGGAAGGGGCATGAAGGAACTTTGTGGGATAATGATAATGTTTTATAACTTGATGGGGATTTGGGTTACACAGGTGCATGTACTCATCTGTCAAAACTCAGCAAGTGTACATTTAAGATTTGTTCATTTCGGGCTTCCCTGGTGACACAGTGGTTGAGAGTCCGCCTGCCGATGCAGGGGACACGGGTTCGTGCCCCGGTCCGGGAAGATCCCACATGCCGCGGAGCGGCTGGGCCCGTGCGTCCAGAGCCTGTGCTCTGCGCGAGCAGAGCCAAAACAAGAAAAAGGCCGGGGAAAAAAAAAAAAAAAAAAAAAAAACGAAAAAATAAATACCAAACTCTAGTTAATGATATGTATGTTCAAGTTTTTAATGGGGAAGAATGATGTCTACAATTTACTTTGAAATGCACCAAAAAGATGGATTAATTGATGGACAGAGAGATGGATGGAGGAAAAGATGGAGAAATGCATGCTAATGCAAGTATAGTTAACTGTTAACAACAGAATATAGGTGGTGGATATATGAATATTCATTTTAAAATTCAAATTTCATATATGTCTAAACATTTTCAAAATAAAATGCTGGAAAATGCAAAATCAGCATTATGTGCTGAGAAGATCTTGGGCAGGGGTAGGTAGGTGAGGGGAGAGGAGTAAAGGGATCATTGTTCAATGATATATTATTAATAAAATAGAAGACCAAGGAAAAGCGTCAATGTTTTGCATGGCCTAAAGAGAAGAAAGAAGGGAGATGAAGATGAGGAATTTCACTGTAGACAGACTGAGTCTGAAATAAAAGTAAGAAAGCCAAGTGAAAATGTCTAGCAAGTAGGTAGAGGCCAAGGCCAGATAGATTCAGAAATCATTTACATAAAGTTGATAATCAAGTTTTAAGGAAGGGAAGAAGAACAGAATGGAGTTGAAGATCCTGGTGACTACCTTAGGGGCTGAAAAAACCCAAAATAGAATAGAAAAGCAGCTAGAAAAATTAAGGGAATGTTACCGAAAAAAAAAAAGTATGAATAAGCTACAAACAACTTTCGACTACAATTCTCTTTTGAGATACACTGCTAAACTGAGGGGTAACAAAAAACTTCCAATGGAAAGCTACTCAGTTTAATTAAGGAAACAACACATGGCTGAAATCCAAGGCAGATCAGAGCCCCCCCACCCCAATTCCTCCCCCCAAAACCTTTTCCAATTCTTCAAAATTCAGTTGGAATCTTAAATATCAAGAATGCAACAATTTCATGCACTTGTGGTAGGCATTAAATAAAAGAAATGGAGAAAATTGTGTTATCAACTCCTGCTTTTCAAGAGAAATTATTGAGAGCAGATATCCAGTTGAGAATCTTCTTCAGGGCAGACATGTAGCTACCTTAGAAAAGCAGCGTGAGTCAGCTCAACCATACACTTCTTGATTATGCAGAAGATATTCTCAGCTTTCGGTTCCTTCTTTCCTTAGTCATTTACCTAGCATTATGCTCTCAAGTCAATTTCCATTTGGTCCACCACCCTACCCTCATTGGTCAACCAAAGAGAGATATGCTCTAAAATTTAAAATTAAAAGACCAAAAAAAAAACCAGACCTAAATAACCCTCACCCAAGTCTCAAAATCTACTTACCTTGAGGCAGATCACTGCCACATGGATCACAGGAATAAGGTGGAGGTAGTGATGGTAAGTTTGAAGTGTCTGTCACCTCAAGAGAAGAAGGAGGAGGAGGTGGTGGTGGAGGAGGTGGAGGTGGTAGAGTGGCAGCCACAGCAGGAATAGGAGCAGCCAGGTATGGATAGGATGCTGAAGCAATCACTAAAAAGGAAACAAAACAAAGTAGCAATGTACAGCTGTAACATCTTATAAGCAGTAGCTCGTCCTCTATTTCTTTTGTGTTCCCAATATGGTCAAGCAACTCTGAGTCTTATGGTTTGACTTAAAAACAAAAACTTAGGGCTTCCCAGGTGGCACAGTGGTTGAGAGTCCGCCTGCCAATGCAGGGGACATGGGTTCGTGCCCCGGTCCAGGAAGATCCCATATGCCGCGGAGCGGCTGGGCCCGTGAGCCATGGCCGCTTGAGCCTGTGCGTCCGGAGCCTGTGCTCCGCAACGGGAGAGGCCACAACAGTGAGAGGCCCGCGTACCGCAAAAAAAAATAGAAGGTAAATTGCACATATTCTTTTAGACATGCCAGTTGAAAAGTAGGAGTTCATTACAAGTTATTTTGAGTTAAGGAAATTACTTGACATTAAAAGGAAAAACAACTGTAAACTACAGAGGCTTGACTACCAAGATTTTGAACATCAGCTAACATGTACATAAATAAATACTACTAAAGCAAAATTTTTACTGAGCTTAATACAAAGTTAAGGATGTTTTCAGCCATCTGCCAAATCACAAGATGTAGAAGCTAATAAGAGAGACTAAATTGCACAGATTACAGATTTAAGCAGTCCTTGAAGGTTTCTACTTGGTAGCATCAGAGGAATATAGAGAACTCTAAATCATAACAGTTCCGTTTCTAAGGACCTACAGAATCTAAAACAGACAGGCTAGATGAACTATCTTATCCCTTTAACTTTCTATAACTGTTACTATAGTTTAAAAACCACAGTCACTTAGGAGTTTCACAGTTTTTGACATAAGAAATTCAAATACAATTATGTTTAAATATCAATACATTCCTCTATGATGATAAAGGCAGCAATGTGGTTCCAACCTAGTGAATATAAATTATCTCCACATATACATACTATTTTACATAAATTTGTTAAATTTTTTGATACCAACCCTTCAAGTTTAATTGAACATTTTAGCTGACTTAGAAGTTCCAGTACTCAATTTTATCACTGTGTTGCCTGCATTATAATTTTACCCCTGAGAAGTACAGAAAGTTTGGGCTCATTGTTCAATAAAGGTTTAAATTTGGAGTTTTAGAACACTTAGTTTAGTAAAAGAACAGTCCACACAAGCTGAATTTGTTATTCTGGTAATTCAGCAAGAGGAATTTAAGGCCAAGCATTACAAGTAATCCACATTGCTTTCATTCACCAACAAAAATACTAACAACACATTTATTTATAGCCTTTATACAACTACAGGCTAATAGTAATAGGAAATCTAAATCTTAGGGTGATTTAAAACTTGATAACCAACTCTTTTGGGGTGATGAAACTGTTCTCTTGATTGTGGTGGTAGTTACACAATGTTATGCATTGTTAAAACTCATAGAACAGGGCACCAGAAAATAAATTTTACTGTATCTAAATTAAACAGTAAATTTTAAAAATTTACTCAAATAACTTTCGAGTTTTGGAGTTTTGTCATGCATGTAGAAATCTCCACTTTTACAGTTTTAGAAGAGGATTTAATTTTTAGAACATTTCCAAATGCTCTAAAGATTCATGGATTTGTTTTCTATAAAATAATGGCTTCAACAAAGCCACACTCTTATTCCTTTTAAACTAGCACTCAAATCACACCATTTTTTTCAAAAACAACTGGAATAAGTTCAATTATCTAAAAATAGTAGAATGTGATTACGATTACAAGGTAAAAACCAAATACTAGACATAGAGGTAGCTAAGTAAGTTCTCCTGGGCCTGAGAGAATCAAGGACGGAAGAAATTTGGAGGTTACTTTGAACTCAACTTTTTTTTTTTGATAACTTAAATTACATTAAAATTAAGAATTTCTCTTCATCAAAAGGTACCACAGGAAAAATGAAAATATCAACAAAGTGAGAGAAAATATTTACAATACATATAACTGGTAACATATTAGTATCTAGGACAAACCTCCGGTTTCATTTGTCATGATTAGCATATTGGGCGCAATAATTCTTTGTTGTGGAGGCTGTTTTAGCATCATCCCTGGCCTCAACTTATTAGATGCCAGTAGCTCTCCCCTGCCAAATTGTAGGACCACTGAAAATGTCTGCAGAAATTGTCAAATGTTTCCTAAGGGGCAAATTCTCCTCCAGCTGAGAATCACAGATCTAAACTAAGTGAAAAATGAAATAAGTCAGACAAAGACAGATACCCTACATCAGGGGTCCCCAACCGGTCACGGCCTGTTAGGAACCGGGCTACAGCAGGAGGTGAGCAGTGGTCGAGCGAGCGAAGCTTCATCTGCCGCTCCCCATCGCTCCCCATCACTCGCGTTACCGCCTGAAGCGCCCCCCCACCCTCACCCCCGTCTGTGGAAAAACTGTCTTCCGTGAAACCGGTCCCCGGTGCCAAAAACGTTGGGGGCCAATGCTCTACATTATCACTTATATGTGGAATCTAAAAAAAAAAAGAAACAGATTCAGATATAGAGAACTAGTGGTTGGTTACCAGTGGGGAGTGTGAAGAGGGGCAAAAAAGGGGTAGGGGATTAAGAGATACAAACTACTATGTATAAAATAATCAACAAAGATATATTGTACAGCACAGGGAAATATAGCCATTATTTAGTAATTGAACTCAACTTTCTTTTTTTTTTTTTTTTTTTTTGTTATTCGGGCCTCTCACTGTTGTTGCCTCTCCCATTGCGGAGCACAGGCTCCGGACGCACAGGCTCAGCGGCCATGGCTCACGGGCCCAGCCGCTCGGCGGCATGTGGGATCTTCCTGGACCGGGGCGCGAACCCATGTCCCCTGCATCAGCAGGCGGACTCTCAATCACTGCGCCACCAGGGAAGCCCTCAACTTTCTTTTAAAATGCATATTATAATACGTTCCATAAGAAAAAGCTTTTAAAACTTCCAGTTGCTCTAGAGATGCATGAGCATCTAATTCGCAGACTTAACAGGGCTCTATGGGCTTACCAGGTACAGTTCAAGTGATGGACCCAGAACAATGGAAGCAAACTTTTCTAAAAGTGAATGGAAACCAATGAAATTCATTCAGAAAGCTTATTTCCTTGTCCATGCAGCTGCAGTCTGCTTCAGGACATTTCAGAAGAGAACGTGAATATACATAGTAAGACTCAGCTTCTCTAGAGATCAAAGGGCAGGGCCAGTACTAAAATGCAGTAAGGTGCAAAATTTAAAGGCCACCAAATTAAAGCAAAAAAAAAAATTCATGATGACTAAAATACCAAAATTATAAAAGATAGGATCTAAGCTTGCACTTGCATGACCACAAGAGTGAGTGCCTCACTCACCTCACCCTAAGCCTGGCCCACAGTTCCTATCTTTTAAAAAAACTTTGATACTTTGTTTATCATGGATTCTTTTTTGCATTAGTTTTGTTTATTTTAATAGTGCATTAAAGTATTATTTATCTTGAGCACTGTGGGGTTTTTTTTGATACTCCCTTAAATTTTGTACCCAGAGCAAGTAAGTCACTAGCTCTGGCCCTGGCAAAAGACTTGGAAACAGTTACCAAAAAACTCAGTTAACAGGATTTAATGCCTATGAAGACAATCATAATAAAAGCAATCATGGCATCTAGTTACCTGGCAGATAGGAAGTGACTTAAAGGAGGATGGGATGGGGCTGCCAGACAGACAAATGAATAACAATGAGAAACTTGAGCTTTATCTAGAGGACAGGAACGACAAAGAGCAACTAAAAAGTAGCCATTACTTATTAGAGTTATAGTTGAGGTTCACAAGTGGCTCAACAAAAAGTAAAATGAAGGCCGTATACATTTTTAGAAGTATCTACAAAAAAACATAAATCTGGCATTTAAAGGGTAATCTTTCAATGATTCTACATAAATGGGGTATTACAATGCTTGATTTCACCTGTCACTTGTTTTTTTAAGCGCAGACATCTGCTGGAAGCAGATAGCCAACATGTTCCCCTACAATTAGCACAAGCAGTAAAACCAGTATCTACATTAACATTTCCAATGAAAAATTTCTGTGGTCATTAATGAACATATATTGCATGTTTTGTTCCAGGCACAGTGGCTAAGTTCTTAATTTTTACATTATAAATAAAACAGATACAGAAAACAAATCAAACGAATTATTTTCAGTTGGACACTATCCAGGTTAAGAAAGAAAACTTTGCCAGCCATTTCAGAAAACTTCCATGTACTCCATCACAATCACCACCCTTACCCCCACCATAATCAACCACTATCCTGACTTTCATAGTAGTCACTTCTTTGTAGTTTTAAGTGTTTTGTCACCCAAATGTGCATCCCTACACAGTTTTTAAAAACTGTATCTTGAACCTCTTTTAATCTATAGGTCCTTTCTCCATCCCTGTCATTTCCTTTCAATTTGTCTTTTGAAGACCCCCTGACCTGTTGAGTTTCCCAGTCTGCATTTTGCTGATTACATGCTCATGGTGCATTTCAATGTGTTCTTGTATTTCCTGCAAATAGGCAGCTAGATCCAGAAGACTAGATCAGACTCAGGATCGATTCCTTTGGTAGTCTATAGGTAATGTCTCACTATCTTTGCAATCTTAGCAGCTACTGCTGTTTAATATGCATCCGTTCAGTAACGACTGCAAAATGATTACATTCTGCCACTTCTTTTTCACTGATTAGAATACTTATAGAAATATTTCCCCTCATCTACTATTTGGTTACCCCGTATTATAGTTCATATAAGAAAGGCAGGATAAATACTTGATTCTTTCACTTTACTGTCCCGTTTTCAAGAACGTAAACTCGTTTCCTAACATCCTCTTAAGACAACCAATTCTTTTTTCAGTTATGTATTCTTTTCAGATTATTTTCCATTATATGTTATTATTAGATATTGATCACAGTTCCCTGTGCTATACAGTAAATCCTTGTTTTTTAATCTATTTTATGTATAGTTGTTTATATATATATATAGATAGATAGTTGTTAATCCCAAGGGAACCAATTTTTAAAATATCATCAGGAACTTTTAAATATATTTGACATGTTCCAAAATCTATTGCAATTATCATTGTTGAAGCTCAAACTGTTCTATCTTTGGCCAGTGGGAACCTCTTCAAGATGGCTCGTGAGTCCTTTTGACACGACCCCCAGTACCTGTTGATAGCTTCCTTGCTATCTAGCATGACAAGATGATCCAGGCTAATCTTGAACATTTCCTGCCCAGACCTGGAACCAGAAATTTCTCCATAAAGCTCTTTGTTTCTGTTTGAGTGAGAAGCAGCATTTCAACGTCACAAACTGAGTGCTAAAGATACTCATTGTTTCTGGGCCTTTTCAGTGGACAGAGCTAGGAAATACACAAATTTAAAGATAAAATACCTCAAGTTCATACTGATACTTCTAATTCAAATGTGATACCATAAAAGTTTCTCCTTAGCCTTTTTTAGTACATGTGTATTACCTTTCTTCCATACTAAGATCCCAGTTTGCAAGGACACAGAGGGATAAAACTGGAATATCCCATACTCATTTGTTTTAGCCAACATTATAGTCTCTGAATAACAATCTAAGTATCTAGATAAAAGAACCTGATGTGTTTATTGAAAGCATTAAAAAATGCTTGGCACATGGTCTCTCAATTCTCCCATTTTTAAAAATAGCTATACTGTACCTATATTGTTCAAATATAAGGCTTTACATAGTATATCATCAACCTCTCAGCCCTCATTTTGTGCTAAGTATATATTTAATACTTACAATCAGGTCTTAAGCTAATGTCTTTTATTGTTTTGGTGGTCTAAAAGTCAAAATCATTCTCCAATACACTCTGTTCCTCCAATACAACTTCCTGATGGCAGAAATATTCTGTATCTGTGCTGTCCAATACAGTAGCCACTAGCCACGTGTGGCTTTGAGCACCTGCCATGTGGTTAGTGTGACCGAGCAACTGAAGACTTATTTTACTTAACTGTAATTAATTAAAATTTAAAGTGTCATACGTGGCTAGCAATTACCTTACTTGACAGCGTATCTTTATTAGATTCTTCAAGAAGGGCTCATGCAAATAATATTCTCTGAATTCTTATACATTACCCTTTAAGCCTGAATATGTTTGGCTGGATATAAAATCTTTGGTTCACATATCCTTTCATTATCTCAAATGTTACTCCATTTTCTTGTAGCATGAAGCATTGCTGTCAAAGTTTGACGATTATCGTTTTATTTCCTTTATACTCCATAGGCTCTTTTTCTTTAAAGCCCAGTTGTTTTACTAGAATATCCTGGTGTTGGTTGCTCTGGCTCAATATTCTGCAGAGCACTGTTTCTGTATGTAGTTTTAAAGTTTTTTAATTTCAGGAAATTTTTCTGAATTATAGTTTTTAGTATTTATTCTTTTCCCTTACTTTGGTTTTCTTCTTTAGGAACTTCTATCAGTGTTGGATATCCTTTGCCTAACTTCAATATGTCACTTTTGAATCTTTCTCTTCGTTTTTTTTCATTTTAGATTTCCCCCCTTTCTTACATCTTTCTCTTAAAGCATTATCTGTTGTACATACTTGGTCATGTTCTTTATAGTTTAGTCTTCATTACCGAAATGACTTTCTTCCATTTCTAATGCTTTCCTGAGTTCTGTCACCTCATCCGACTTTTTCTAATCCTGATTTGTTATTTTTTAACATTTTGTGTTATTTTATTAATGTCTTTACCTCATTTTGAAATAGCTGTTGGTTTAGTTTAAGTTCTGTTTAGTGTGCACATTCTGACATGCTTTTACTGTCTAACAGGGATACTATTCTGTTTTCCTCTTAAAACACCTTTGTATGCAACCTTAGTGCTTTTCTTTCATTCATTTTTTTTAACATCTTTATTGGAGCAGAATTTCTTTACAATGGTGTGTTAGTTTCTGCTTTATAACAAAGTGAATCAGCTATACATATACATTCATTTTTATGTGAAATTATTTTTTATGAACTCTAGAACGAGATGAAATACAAGAAAGCTTTTCTAACTTCTTAGGGATCTCTATTGTTTTTGTAGTGTTTAAAAACATGACTGCTTTCTAGGATTCCTTGGCTCTGTTCTCTCAGCTTTAGTCTGGACCTGCTCTTTCCCTATCCTCATCAACTTTGATTCCACTCCCAGCAGTTTCTACCCAGTGAGGAATATTATCCTAAAAGGTAGCCCTGCCAGGTCAGTTTTCAGAGTTCTTAGGGGCAAAACTGTTCCAAGTCCTTTAGTCCCTTTACCATGTACCCAAAGCACTCACCTAGTATTGGAGAGGTCAAATCCCTTCCCAGTCTTAGCTGTTCCTTCCAAATTGGCTGCCCCACTGTCCAGTGAATTCTTATTAGTTCTTTTGGGGTTCTTCTGTTCTCAGGTCCATCAGACAACATCCCCGATGCTTCCGTCTTATTGCTCCCACATTGACCCTGACAGCATGCACGTCTTGTGACTGATGGTTTGTCCCTACCTGCTTAAATTTGGGGGTTCATGGGGAGACCTTGTCACCTAGTTTTGTTGTTAAACATTGTCCCATGGGTTTTGGTTTTGCTATTTCCATTTTTATTTGGGGACGCAGACTGAAAAGCTATGCTGTTGCTGCCACCACTTTCCCAGAATACTGCTGAAAATTTTAAATTATATTAACTCAGTGGAATTTCACAACCACTTCATAAATTGGTACTATCAGTACCTCCAAGCTCACAGATAAGAAAGGTTCAATAATTTGTCCAAAATTACATAGCTAGTAAGTTGTAAAACCAAGATTCTAACCTGGATCTCTTAAATTCTAGAGCCAAACTTTTCAGGAATTAATTCTGTGAAGTGTGAAATACCTTTACCTTAATTTCCGTATAATAAAACTTAACTTGAAGTTTAAGAAACTAGTACAAGTCCTCTAAATTTTCAATGGGTTTAGCAAAACAACAGCTATGAAATCATACCAAAGCTAAATTTGCAAGAAAAAAAATTGAAATTTAATACTGGAGATTAAAGTAATCTTATCTAATCACTAGAATTGTTGTATGGGCATGTTCATGAATAGAAAAAGGCTTCCAAAGTAAGGAACCACTAATAACCTACCTGGCCTGCCTTGTGTAGGCGGAGATACAAATAGAGGCTGTATAGCATTCTGTGAGGAAATTGAAGCGGTACTACTAGCTTGATTAGCTGCTGCACAGTTCGGTAAGACTGGAGCTGGAACAATATTTGCACAGGAAGCTGCAACTGCTGCAGAATTCACCATCACCACCTGTAAGTGTGGAAGAAAGTTTAGAACTCTAAGTTTGGTTTCACAAACAATATTGGTCTCTTATCTGATCCTAAACTTCAGGAAATAGTATTCTAATAACTAAAACACCAAGAAGCCAATATTTATGTAAACCTAATACAGGAAGGTTATTTCTTTTAGAAGACCCCAGATGACTTCGAGAGATTTACTTTGTTATTTTAATATTTTTCTGGAAAGGTAATACATTAATATGATTCAAAAACCAAGTATAAAATTGTATACAATGAAAAGTTTCCTCCAACCCCTGTCCTCCATCTGCCTAGTTCCTCTCTCCACAAACAAGTAACCTCTGGGTTTCCTGAATACTATCCAGAAATTTATAGTACATATTTATTTTTACATGCATATATGTTTCCCCACACACACTTAAAAAAAAAAAAACAAACAGAAAATGTTCTTTGCTTATTTTTTTTTTTTAACTTCGTGAGACTGCAACTTCTCTGATTAGGCCACAGCACCGAATACAGGGCTGTGCACAGAAAGATGTTCAATAAATGGTAACAGATTCTTCTTCATGAACACCCTGTCCTCACCGTAGTCTCCATTTTCTTATTACCCACTGCAATGTGGCTGCTACCCTCTCTGGTTCTCAGAAACTGTATTCAAAGTCACAGTGGTCTCCATGGCAACAAATCATAGTAGACTCTTGTTAGTCCTTATGTTGCTTTACGGCTTGGCAGCAACTGACACTTGACTATTCCTTGAAACATTCTCTTCCTGGGGCTTCCATAATAATACACTCTCCTGCTTTTCCTTCCTCCTTGGCTATTCCTTCTCTACCCATTTTCTAAATGGTGATGCACAGGCTCTGTTCTAGATGCTGTTCTCAATCTCCTCCTTTTTCCAGGATGATCTTATTTACTCCTACGGTTTCAGTTACCTTTCTGATGCCAGCTTCCCATTCTGTAAGAAAGCTTTACATTTTAAGTTTCAGGAAATGGCACAGACTTGACAGGTAATTTATATTAACTCACTCATTATATAAGAGGTTCAGAGTAGACTGAGTAGTCCAATGCCAGCACACAGAACAGTGCCTGGAACACAGCAGATGCTCCATCAATTTATTAATAAATTTACTAATTATTGTGCCAGGCACCAGGAAGTACAATAACAATTAACATAAGAATATAAGCAGCTTCTTTGAAGTATGACGAAGGGCAGAGAACAAAAAGAAAAAATTCATTTTCTTCTGTTTAGGCCACTGCAACTGACTGTAAAATAAAACTATAAAGATTACCTTCTGGGGGTAGTTGTATGAGGTAACTGTATCATGAGGAGACATAGAACATGGTCTTCTATCCTGAAGAGACTTTAATGAATACAGAAGTACAAATAAGGGGAAATCAAGAAATTAAACAATACATCAATAAAAGATCTGCTTTGTTTCAACATCTCCTAAAGATAAGTGAAAGTGATCTGTCCTAAAAGTATTCAAATTTGGAGGTGACTACTATGATAATGCTCCAAAAGGTATCACTCTAGTGCCTGACTTAGGTGACTGTTCTATTTCCTATCTACAGAAATCCTGATCATATCCAACTCTAGTCCCAATGTAGATACTAAAATGTAATGGAGAATTGTAATTTAAACACTTTCTCAGTGTCCTCTCTTGCCTTAAAAAGCTCAAAATCAGTAGGGCCAGCAACAGTGTTGCTAAAAGAAAGCATTCCATCAAAAGGAACAGCTTGGGACAAGGGTGGATAACTGGTTGGTCAGCTGCATCCTACCTAAGCAGGATGTAGTATAATCCAAACACCATTCCCCTTTGGCTCAAGACCTTGTCTTTGTGAAAGTAACAATGATTTTAAAAGGCTCAGAATTATGCATGACAGACTGTCATGACAAAAAAATAAACTAGCAGCAGAAGCTGGTAATAAGGACACAGAGGAAATCAGGTGAAATAATCACAGGAAACAAGAGGAACCACATTGGGACAAAGACAAGCCCAACTTAACATGGACCTAAGAGTGCATGTTTCGAAAGTCTGTGTTAAAGTACAGCCCAAGTACCGGCCAAAAAGCAAACTTTAGCCCTGGCTCAGAAGGCCCAGTGTGAATTCTAAACAATTCTAGAGAAGGATTTAGGTGAGAGTTGGGCGTGGAATTAAGAAGAAAAAATGTTCATAGTTTCTTAGAAGTTTTGTGCCTGGAAATCTTTAAGTCCTGCATTGCTCTTCTCCCCTCAGAATGCTGTGAAAAAATTACTTCGAAAAATTACTTAGAAACTTGGTGACTGGAGAGTGGGAGTGGAGCATGTCATGAAGAGATTGAAACCTACTGGGGATGTATGATAAAGTAAGTTCAGAACAAAAAGGAACACGTGACAAGTGAAATTAAAGGGACAGAAAGAAAGTGTCTACTCCTGTCACCCTTGAAGGCGAGATTTTTACTTGCTTTTTCAACTTGGGTGGCTATTTCAAGAAATGGTGTAAAAAGCATGTGATATGAGAATAGTAATGACAGAGTGAGAGGAAAAACTATTTCTCTAGCAGGGGCAAAGGAAGGAAAGGAGAAATAATGGGAAGAGAATTATATATCACAGTTTTCATCACCTTCCTAAGATGTATTGCCTAAACAGTAAAAACAAAAATTCAGTACATGAAGCTATCAAAGTTAAGATTAATCACAGAGAATAGAGGGTAGTCATTCAACTTCCTCACAAATATTCCAGCTCTCCTCCTAGGTACATGGGTAGGTTGCTCTTCCCGGCCTCATCTAATTAGGTATGGGCACGTGACTTGTTTGGACAATGAAATATGAGCAGAAATATTGAGAGCCAGTGTTTAATTTCCCTATCTTCAGCTCTGCCAAGGTGACTGTGAAAGTACATGTCCATCAGCCTGGGTTCCTGAGTGACGCTGATGAACAAAGGCCTGCTACCAACTTGCACTGGACCTATAACATTAGCAAGAACAGCTGTGTTAAGCCGCTGAGATTTTGGTGGACTGTTGCTGCAGCGTAACCTAGCTTGACCAAAACAGTAATTGGTAACTAAAATTAGGGTGCTGCTGTAACAAAAACCTAACTTGAGAAGGAGATTATGAATTTGTAGCTCTTAAGGGAAGAGGTTTGGAAAACAGAATGTTAGTTTTGTGTTTTGATTACTGCTGGCAGAGTTTAGCAAGGTATTTTAAGACAGATGTGTACAGAAAAGTAGTTTGTAGGCAGGAATGAAAGGGAATAGAGTCCTTGATACTAGGACTTGTAGGGTTTGGAGAGGCAACTGCTTCAACTCAAAACTCTAAAAGATAAAACTGATAAATGCTTTGAACAACAAAGAGAAGTTAAAACTCGGCCTTGAAGGAAGACTCAAATCATTGTTAAAATATGATTGCACTAAAGTATCTCAAAGCAAGAGTCCCATTAAGGATATAACACCCAATGAATCCTTGCAGTTGGACAAAATGGCTCATGGAAAAGTATTCAAAGGTATGGCTCTTTTCATCAATGCCTGATAAGCTAAAGGTATTTGCAATCAAGTAGAGACAGGGATAAGAATGCAAAGAATTATAGCAAATCTAAGTAGTATATTTATAAAAAAAGAATTGTCAGTATGGCTATTAGCAAATGAAACTAATAGGAATCAGAGAAGCTGCACAATAAATTACTCACATAGCCAAAGAAACCATGAGCAGAACTAAAACTATCCAACTGAGATAAAACCACCCTTGGGCCCTCAATTTTCAATGAGTAAGAAGCAGGCTGAGAAAGGTGCTCAGTTGCCAAGAGGGATTATTCTCCAATGCCTACTACTTCAAATATAGCCAAGGAAGGAAGGGCCTTGGAGTAATCAAGAGCCCCAGAAAACAATGAACCAGGGAGCCTCTCCAGGGAACAGTCCCCATGCCTAGGCTAGGTTGGGGGCCCTCAAAATGTCTGTCCAGCATGATGTCAGAATTGCTATGGGCCAGTAACTGTTTCTCCCATTTTCCCTGCATCTGAATGGGAAGTTCTACTGCAATTTTTCAGTCCCTGCTCTACCACTGGAAATTGGGTATGTAGGGGGTAAATAACTTTGTATATTTGGTTTAGGCCTCCAGATCAAGAGGAGCCACATCTGGACCCAATACAAAGAGTACTACACACTTCCCAGAAACCTTGGGCTCTGAGTTTAATCACACTGAAGGGGATTTTGGGGTTGCCTCTCCTGAGGTGGAAGGAAGTATTTTGCCTGTGGGAGTTTCCACTGAATGTTGTAATCCTTAGTGCTGTTAAAATATTTCCAACTTTTTGACTTCTAGGCACAGAGAAGTTAGAGCCTTCAAGAGAAACATGCTCTGGCCGATGATGAAAAAGAAATGGAGGGCTTCCCTGGTGGCGCAGTGGTTGGGAGTCCGCCTGCCGGTGCAGGGGACACAGGTTCGTGCCCT